AGAAAGAAAGAAAGAAAGAAAGAAAGAAAGAAAGAAAGAAAGAAAGAAAGAAAGAAAGAAAGAAAGAAAGAGAAGGCTGGGTATGGCGGTGGGTCCTCGCATTTGGGAGACTGAAACAGAAATTGAAAATAAGGTATAAGCCCAATGTCAGGTAAATACTGGGTTACAATTTGCACATTATGGCAATGTGGAGTGATGTTCCTTGGTTAGAAGTGATTTGTGGGTTGTGAGTGTGGATCCACGGTAGAGCACTGGGCCTTGCGTTCTATCCTCAGAAACAGAAGAAGAATAAGGAAGAGGAGGAAGAGGAGGACAAGGGCGAGAATGGGGATGAAGAGCAGGTGGATGTCTAGAGTGAGGGGGAAGATCATTTGTTGTGAGCCTAGGAGCTGCCACTTGGAGGGTGGCTGGCTCAACAGTTGAGTTTCCATGACTGTATTTGTGGGTCAGAGTCATAGGTGCAGAAAAGATACTCATGGAGACCAAGCCAGTCCAAAACTCAAAAGCAGAATTTGCCATCCTTTTCCAAATACTGGTGAGGGAAAAAAAATCCCTAGAAGTTGTGGCTACAACCTAGTAAATAAAGAAAACATCACGCCACCTGTGGGGCCCTGGCCTGAAAAGCTCTCAAGGCAAATTGAGCCATCTCACTTAACTGAGGTGACCCTGGCTTGCCACACTAGAGAGCCCATGAGACAAATGAATGTCTATTTTTCTGAGACTTCACAGAACCACAAAACAATGACATAATGCCTGTTCAAAAGGAATTTAACTTTGAATGTGGTTTCAAATTCTAATGAATTATACAGGTGAACTTTATAGCCCTGTTGGAGCTGTGTTGGATTTTTTTTTTCCCCATTCTCACCAGTAGTTTGCAGAACAAAAAATAAATCTTACTTGATGCTGTTAGCTGTTATAAAGTCAGTACTTAGAATTAAATGAAGGATATATCTTAATTTGTTTAAAGTGACATTTAGTAGTTCATTTAAGAAGAGGTCAGATGATAAGACCAAGCGTGATAACAATGGTAAAATTTTAAAATAATTCACTGGACTGCAGAAATGAGAAACTGCATATTTTTTTTGCAGTTCCACTGATAGGCTTTGTCTATCAAAGCACATTTGGCTATTCAAGCTATCTCAGATTTTGGGTTTTCCAGACGGGTATGTAGCCTAAGAATTCTGACTGGGCCCAAAACATTTTTTTAATGCCATATAATGAAATCATCAGTAAAACAACAATGTACTTGACAGCAAAGTTGGAAAATATTTGAAATGTTTTCAATCTCTTCCAGTTGAAAGTTCACTGTGAAAAATTCCTTTGGTGACACTTCTAATGTTGTTTATGAACGCTATGTCCTGAAGCAATCCTTAATATCACCCAGCACTTACGCTTCTACAGAGAAAAAGGTAAGACCGTGCTTAATACCAGAAGTAACAAACAACAATGACTATTATTTTATTTTATTTATTTATTTATTTATTTATTTATTTATTTAGTGTGTGTGGCCAGCTCAGCCCACGGTGGGGGGGAGGGGGGGCTGGCTGGCATGTGGTGCTGGGGGACTGAACCGCGGTCCCTGTGCTTTGCTTATCTTAGCTGGTTCTAAGCAGGTACTTTAGACCACTGAGCCATCTCACCAGCCCCTGATTTTTTATTCTTAAGCACTACTGCATTTCAAACTTCTAAATTGCACTGGGGATATAGCTAAGAGGCACAGCACCTGTCTGGCAAGCATGAGACCATGAGTTTGATTCCCAGTACAAAATAAAATAAAATTGTTTCTAAAATTCATTTCAGGCTTCTTCATATTCTTAAATTCTAACTCAACTTCCCCAACTTAGGGCCACCAGTTAATCCCAGCCTTTCAATGTTATTAAGCTTTGGATTCTTTCTGAAGTGGCTCTAACTGGCCCTGTAGACACACAAAAATAGGAAAACCCAACAGGATCCAAACAAAAGCAAAGTGGTCTTTATTAATACAAACCATAGCTACTAACAATCCTTACTATGAACATAACAGAAACATTGAACACACTGAAGTGGTCTAGTCAGAATCCTGCCCCCAGGGTGTTCAGCAGAGGGAACCCCACTCAGAACCAGGGGCCTGTGAGAGTCCTACCCTTCTGCCTGCCCCTGCATCACCACGCAGATGATCCCGGTGTGACACCAGGAACATAAGAAAGTTTTCTTTGTACTGAAGACAGAGCTAACTCAGGCTTGCTAGCTTGATTAGTGTCACAACTACTTGAGAAAGGGTGTATGTCTCTATCTCCATCTTCAGGAACTTAGAAATAGACTGAAAGGAAACTGGTTTTCAAAAGAAACTGTGCTAGGGAAGTCCAAAGAAAGTGTTTCCTAGGGTACATGGACCAGGACATTTAAGTGTACCATGACCCCCGGTAACCAAAGTAAGGAAACGTTGAGAATCAGCTGAAAACAAGAAACAGGGCAAGGGAAATCTTTGTGGATGGCTTTTCTATTTTCTACAGTGCTGGGGCTTGAATGCAAGGCTCTCCTACCAGAGCTCATCACTCTAGCTAGTTACACACCAGTTCATGGGTAGGTTGTATTTGAAGGTTCTCAAATCCCTGGAGCACACAGCCCCTTCACAGCTGGGATGCCCTGCTCCTTCTCCCTGTCTCTCCCAGCTGTCTTTCAGGTTTCTGAACGAACAGCGATCATCACCCATGGCCCACAGGAATGCTACAAGTGCTCAGTTCTCACAGATGAATCTGCTGCTTCCAACTTGCTTTCTTTGTTTCTTGAAACTGATCCTCTTGTAGCTCAGCAAGAGCCACTGTGGGTTTCCCACCTGGATTCTCACTTTTCCACTGCCCTTTCTAATAAAAAGTGTGAGCTGGGCACAGTGGTGCATGCCTGTAATTACAGCATTTTGGAGGCTGAGCCAGAAGGATCACTGTGAGTTTGAAACCAGCCTGGGCTATGAAGTGAGCACAAGGCCAGCCTGAGCTGTAGAGCACGGCCCTGTCTCAAAAAGACAAAAAAAAGAGTGCGTGTGACCAAATGTTTTATCAACTAATCTTGCAGCTGGAGTAGATTCCACTTGAAACAGGCCTAAAACTGCCACTGGAAACCCAGAGCACTGGTTTCCATCAGTGTTTTGTGCGGGCTGAGTGAGAGTCACTGTCTCCCTCCTCCCTCCACCAGACCAGCCTTTGAGGCCCACACAGGCTGTGGAGTTGCCCTCAAATCACCTATAGGGGCTGCCAAGATGTAACTTAGATACTAGGGTGCAAGTTAGAATGCTCTAAGAAATGGTTTACTTATTAAAAGACTAACTACCACTATCTTAAATTATATCCTATTGGCCTCTACAATTCCCACTCATCAAAATTTTCTCATCTGTCCCTGATGAGAAACTGAATAAACTCTGAATAAACTCTCAGCTCTTGTTTACTCTCTGCTTATCTGCTAGCACCTAAGGGTCCCTAGAAAACTGTTATGTGGCTGCCCATTCCTACTTCAACTTTCTTTAAAAAAAAAAAAAGTTTGATGCGCTAAAAGTCAAACAAAGCACATGAACAACAATCTACTGACCTACCAGAAACAGGATACTACCATATCCCCAGTCTCCGGTGTGGGGTTGAGTCCTCTGAGCTGTGGAGCCTCTGGTCAGTCTGTGCCTCAGCTCTCCCCTCCCCTCTGCTCCATCCTTCACCAGAAGAGAGTTCACCTCACTATCTCTGCTCCAACTACTCCAACAGTTTCTACCAGGGATACAGAAATCCTTGGAGGTGAAGAGGGAGAAAAGGAGAAAGAGGAGGAGGAGGGAGGAGGAGGAGGAGAAAGAAAAGGAAGAATAGGAGGAGAAGAAAGAAGAACTACCAGAGAAAGTCACAAGATAGACCTCCACAATTTCTAATAATATGTGTGTGAAAACCAATGAAAAACCCTAGGTGGACTAAAAGAAACATGTGGGGCTGGTGAAATGGCTCAGTGGTCTAAAGCACCTACTTAGAACAAGCTTAGCAAAGCAAAGGGACCACAGTTCAATCCCCCAGCACCACATGCCAGCCAGCCCCGCCTCCTGGTGGGCTGAGCTGGCCACACACACACACAAAATAAATAAAAAAATAAAAGAAACATGTGACTGTCCATTGTGCACCTTGTACCACTTGGTGGTACAAACGAACAGATGTAATCACGTTTCTTGGTCTGTTTACTGGTAAAACTAATAAAAGGCCTTCTGATAAGAGTAGTCTGAGATGTATGAAGTACAACCCTGTTGTGAAGATGTTAAATGTAAATAAAAAGGAAGGTAACAGTTGGTCCACCTACTTGTCAAAGCATAAAGTAATGAGAAAGCACTCTCTTCATAAAATATCCTGTTAGGGGCCGGGGAGATGGCTCAGTAGGATAAGCGCTTGACTGGCAAACACAAGGATCTGAGAGTTCAATCCCCGGTTCCGCAAAAATAAAATAAAATATCCTGTCAGCTTTCAGGGTGGGATTCTGTTGGCCTCAGAACTCTGAGGTCACATAAATCCACGTTCTGACCCTCTGGTCTAAATGACCTGTAACGTTTACTGCCTGAGACCTTACTGATACACTTTTAATAAAAGTCAGGGATGCTCAAAATATTAAAACCAAAAAACAAACCAGTGGCTGGTGAGATGGCTCAGTGGTCTAAAGCACCTACATAGAACAAGCTTAGCAAAGCACAGGGACCGCGGTTCAATCCCCCAGCACCACATCCAGCCAGCTCCGCCCCCTGGTGGGCTGAGCTGGCCACACACACAAAATAAATAAATTTAAATAAAGCAATGGATTCTTACTTTAAAAAACAAACAAACAAACAAACCAGTTAAGTATAAAGAAAAACACGAAAAAAATATATACAAATCTATAAAATGTAAAATCATTTTAAAGTTACAGAAATTTTCTTTTAATCTGAGTACAGTGGCAGACACTTAGGATTCCAGCACCTGGAAAGGCGGGGGTAAGAAGACCCTAAACTCAAATCCAGCAAGAATAACTCAGTGATTCAGGAAGACCTTGTCTTAAAATAAAAGAGGGCGGGCTGGGGAGATCCTCCTGCCTCAGTCTCCCAGGCTGAACCAGTTAATCTTAACATTGGATTAAGAGACCTAAAGAGGTGACTGGAACATGAAAGTGCTCTGTTTCTCAGTGAATGAATACAGTGACAGTCACTGCTGACTGTGCTAACAGAAGGTGGGGCCCAGACAGAGGTGTAGCAGTAGTGGCAGGCTTGGAGGGCTCTGGAGCTCTTCCTTTGGGCTCATCCTCTCCACTGTCTTGGACTAAGATGCTCTGCTCTGCCAGGCCCTCCTGCCATGATTCTGTCTTTGAGCCAGCTGATCACTAACTAAAAACTCTAAAACCTTGAGCGGAAATAAATCTCTCTGCTTTGAATTGCCAGTTGCACCAGCAACAGACTACATTTTGGTTTCTCTCTTTAGCAGTATCCTATCCTCACATTAACCTGAGTTTTGTCCAAATGCTTTTTTAAAAAAAAAAATTAAAGCTTTTACTCTTTCTCTTGTACTCTAAATTATTATAAATTTGTCTATGAAGCATAGCTTCCACCTGCTGGTTCCATTCCTGCAGTCTGCTATGACTGGAGGTTTTCACATGACAAACAGCGCCTATGTTTTGTAATAACTTGCAGGTGCACAGGCAGAATTTCTATGGAAAGCCCACACAACCTGGATAAAGACAAGGACTCCATAACAATTCCACTGTTGTGACTGTCAGGTGCTTCAGGGACAAAGAAATACAATGATTATTTTTTATGTTTCTCAACTGTTGTATTCTCCAAGGAAGGAAGTAATACAAATATGAACCCCAAACATCCTTGAGGGATATAAATGCTTAGAAAATAACTGCCTACTTTCTCAGAAGGCTCACACATAAACTCCTGTCTTCACATTAAGGATCACTCTAGAAATCCAGGAAAGGGCCCACTCCTACTCCCATTGTCCTGGTCTGATACTTGCGAAACTTTTAGAGACCAGGCGCTAAAATGCAAACCTAAAAGCCACTAACTTATTATAAAGTGCCAAAAGCCTAAATTACAGTGAACCCTAAATACTGTGGTTTTAACTCAGGAAAAAAATGGGCAGGGGAGATGGCTCAGTAGAATAAGTGCTTGCCTGGCAAGTGCATGGGCCTGAGTTCAATCATCAGTTCCACCATAAAGAGAGAAAGAAAAAAAGAAAAAAAAAAGAAAGAAAGAAAAAAAGAAAGAAAGAAAAGAAAAACACAGTAACATGTATGACACAGGTTACCCATCATTGTCCTAAGCCTTATATTCTGTCCCCAAGTGGGTTTTCAAAATAAAAAAACAGTAAATCTTTTCAGGATAGACACAGTGCTAGGGTACTTTCATATTTTTTTCCCTCTTACAAGATTAGTTGCACCTCTGTAAAATGTTTTCTTCTATTTTCCTAATTTTGTAGCAACATGGTTTTCAGTTATCTCTTCTACCATATTATTAAAACCTACAATAACAAGACAACCACTGAGGCTGTATATGACCAAACAGCTCCCCAGGTTTTGCTTCACACCTGCAACCCTACCCCCACTCCCTTCTCCCCCACCCATGTTTGCCTAGGTAACTCCTCTAAGGTCAAGAAATATGGTTCAGGCTTAAGTCAGCAGGCTCCCCTATGTAGCCCAGAGTAGGAACTGAATTCGGTCAGGACAAACCCCAAGACTGGTCTCAATAGGAAAAAACACACCCCACTACAAGGCAAAGATAAAGGAGCTCCTAGCAAGACACTACTCATATGCACTTAAGACCACAATGGAGAGGAGTAGCACCTGTGACCAACATTGAGGAAGGAGGGCAGAGACCAACAAGTAGATCCTACTCCCACTGCTGAGGCCACCAAACAGTTTTGACCAAACTCAATCTGTTCTTGATGTTTCTCTTCCACTTCACCTTGTATAAACTGCTATGAGCTGAGTCTGTCTGCTAAAATTGTTACTGACATGAAAACAGACCAAGTGTTCAATGTTCAATAATCAGAACAAAATTGTACTTGCTTACCTGGATAACCAATTCCTTTGGCATTTGCATAGGGAACCCCAGAAGATCCAGGGCTATAGACAGGATTCATGATTTCAAGAACTAAAAACAAACAAACAAAAAAAGTAATTCAGCCAAGCACTACTGTTCTGATTTTTGTCCAGCATCAGTCCCAAAAAAAGTAAGAAGGGGCCTGCCCCTTAGCTCAGTTCTTTAAGTGGCTGCTTCAACAAAGCAGTCAGGCTCAGGTTGCTGTGGTTCAATCCCCACAACTCAAGCCAGCCAGTCATGCCTTGAAGGCATTCGGAGCCAGCCCACCGC